CCAACCGGAGGCGAAACACCTCATACGCCCTGCTACGAAACTAAAAGTTTCGATCCAAACGTAGTGTGTCCCCGCGTCTACGCATTTTAGCGTGTAGCCTTCGTTGTTGAGTCCGCAGTGGCCAACGACGAGAAAGTCGCTGTACACCTGGTGAGGTTCGGGTACCGATTAGTGCCTGGGTCTAGCAGGGGGAAGGGCTGATGAGTTAGCGCGGCTTCGGGGCAGACGCTGCAGGTGTGTGGCTGTGACGTGCACCTTAGTTCGGTTTCGTCGGGGCGCAGGATTGCTCCGGGTGCAAACACTTCAGCGGTGATGCAGTTGTTGAGTGTCTGGCGCGAGGGATGTCCAAGGCGCTGGTGCTTGAGATCATCCGTTGCGCAACTCCAGGGGTGCGGAGGTATCGCGCGCTCGCTTCAGTTGGGTCTTCTTCATGTACGTATCGGGTACTGCTTCCGCTTCTCCCTCCTCTTTTTCTTCTTCAGTCGCCGTTGACAGCATTAGCGCGAGGAAGGTCGGGGATGACTGAGAGGGGAATGTTCGTTCCCGAAATGGTCACTGGCACAATCTGAGGCTTGCGCGGTTCGGGGTCGGGGCCGTAGACGGTGCAACGGGGTGTTGACTTTTCATTTCCCCAATCGATCGTGTCCCATGGGTCGCGTGACGGCATTATGTCTTCGGCGAGAGGTGTTGGTCTAGGCAGGCACGGAGGACGGTCGAGGGGGACAATAGCTGGAGCAATGTCTTCCTCAATTTCCCCCTTTTGTTCTTCTTGGCTGTGTGAAGTACCCCAGTCTCCACCTGAGCCACCCCATTCGCCGCCAGTGCCACCCCATCCGCCAGTTTCAGTTCCCCAATCTCCGCCTGCGGTGGCCCATGTGCCTTCCGCGTTTCCCCATGTTCCGCCATCCACCTTCGTTGGAGGCGCCCTCTCCGCCGCCTTCTCCACAATTGCCAAAGGCGAGGGTCCCGCATCCTTGAGTTTCGCTTTGTCGTCGAAGCTCTTCTGCTTTGCGACGCGCTAGTTCCTCCTCGTCTTCCTCTTGCGTGGCATCGGGGTCGCGCCAATGGGGGTAGATGGTCAGGTACGACCGTTTGTCGTAGGGACGCAGCTTTCCTGCGTCGTCGTAGTTTCCGTGCGACTCGCCTTGTAGGGTCCACTGGAGTCGATTGCGAGCGGGTCCGGGGAGTGGGGATTCGCATGAGCTGAATACCCTGTAGGTGGTGGTCGCAACCTCCATTGTTGACATGCCTTCATCGGGCGGCGCGAGTCGTGCAGCTTCTTCGATCTCGTCTAATCCGGTGACAACGATCCTATTGCTTGAAGCGGTGGGAGTGCGACAGTCCCTGCAGATGCCGTCAGGGCCAGGCTTATGCAGTTTTTTCTCGTGCACGTGTTGATGGTGGGGCACCCATGGTCTGCCGACTGGGTGCTTCCACCCGGACCGTTGGATGTATTCGAAGCGGAGATGGACAAGGTCGATTAACTCATCCGTGCAGTCCAAGATGTTGAAGTCGATCACGTACACGCCGTTGTTTGCACGCGCTCGTCCAAGGTATTTCTGAAGCTTGCCGGGGAGTGCGAAGTGAAGAAGAATGTCTTGTTAATCGGTGTGAAGCTCCATCCCGCAATCCATCAGCTGCGATGCCGATATTAAGTTGAAGTCCGAATTGTATACAATGAGCACATCGTTCAGTGTGATGTGTGTGTTGTTGTCATGTGCTTTCAGTACAACGATTCCCTGCGTGCTTGCGCACAGATTTTCGTTGTTCACCACAGTGATGTAGGTGACCGTGGGGGTGGGGACGACGTTGGAGAGGAAGCACCTTGATCCCACCATATGCTTCCCGCAACAACTGTCAAGGTACCAGATGTTGTGGTGCTTGTTTTCGTCGCGCGTGAGTAGCGCGAGTCGTGGCATGATTATGTGCAAGGTGTCGTACGTCAGAATTTGTTCGTGCGCGATCCAGTTTGCAGGTGCCGGCCTGGGTTCGTACATGTGAGGAGGGCTTTCAAGCAGCGGAACTGTCAGATTCGAGTCCTGCTCGTCGTCATCGTTGTAGTCGTTATCCGAGCTGAAGGGGTTCTTCTGCTCGAAGGGAAATATTGGGTTCGGCGTAGGTTCCGGCGCTCCTTGTGTGCCGCATTGCCATGTTGCTTTTGACGTTTCTGGCGCCTCCTGGTTATGCCGAATATTGTTGTTGCTGATGCTGGGCTGATGTGTTTGGAACGCGCGGTGCGGGCTGGAAGCCTTGAGCTTGACGTGCGTCTTGTCTCACGTCTTGTCGGCCGACCCAATTGTTCGATTGGGTGGAGTTTGGGTGCCAAGTATTGGAGCGTAATCTGCATCGCTCCGTTGAATGCCCGAAATTCTTGAATATTTTGCAATAGTGGCACCTTAGTCGTCGCTCTTCTTTGTTGTCGGCGTAGAAGGCAAGTCGTTCTCGTCGAGCCGCAGGGAGTTCCTTGTGCGCATCCATATCTTGCTGTTCGACGAGAAGTGCGGTGCAGAGGGAGGCTTCTGAGATGGCCCCCTATTGCCGGAGTAGCGCCTTGCAGGGTCTCCACTCAGGTCCGAGCCATGCGAGCACGATAGTGACAAAGATGTCCTCGGAGATGGCAATCCCGTGCTTCGCAATTTTATCGCGTATGCTCCGGCAACAATTGATATAAGAATCCTCTTTCTCCTCGGATCCCATTTTCACCTCCATGAGTTGCTGGAGGAGTCTATTTGACGACACTGAGTCGTTCGGCTGGTACAGCTTCATAAGGTACCGCCAAGCCTCTAGTGTCGGAGCCGGCTTCGTCTTGAACGAGCGAATGTCGAGTTGCTCTATCGGCGGCATGTTGCGTAGTAAAACGATGTACGCCATGAGCAAGTTGTTGTAGTACTGCGCTCTTGCGTCGTCGGTGTCCAACGTTGGGCATGCGTAGCTTCCGTCGAAGTAGTGGCAAATCTGTGCGTTTTGCAGCAGCAGCTCCAGCTCAAAGCTCCAAGTATAGAAGTCGTTTTCGTAAAAAGCGGCACTTGTCTTGAATTTGGATATGTTGAGAAATTTTGAAGAAGCTGAAAGTAAGGCATCATCACTTGGACGGGGGGCTTAAGTGTTGATTGTGTCGAGGGAGAAGGTTTGCGGGGCGGTTTCGCGGTCAGTTGCGACGGGTTGAGTAGGTTGGGAGGAGGTTCATGCGTCGACATTACGCAATGTTTGGAGTCCTTGCTCCAAACTCAAAAGTCGTTGAAGTAGGTGCTCCAGTACAACGGTACTGATCGTCGTCGTCGCTCCCGAGTTCGCAGCAGGATTGGGCTGAGCTTCAGCCGTCAAATTTGTCTGACCTCCTGGTCCTACGGCCATCTTGACACGTGAGCGTGTGTTGGTCGCCACTTTCGATTCGTAAGAACTTTCGGAAGTGGGGATGCGAAGAATTCCTGATTCGCTCTCATACCATGTTACAATCCCACGGGGGACATCGCAGGTAGTCTTGCAGAGAAAGTGAATGATGACACCTGTCAGAGTGAATGAAAAAATTATAGAAGTGACTATAACAAGCCAAGACAATGGATTATATAAGATTACAAAACGAATACGAAACGACGTAGCTAGCATGTACTTTAAGGGGTACATTCCCTTATTACATCGATACTTGAACCGTGCGGCACGGGAACCTGTTTTGAACCTGTTATAATGTGTTTTTACGCGTTATCATCATCGGCTACACTATTTGAAGTCAGTAACGAGGCTCGCCATATCGAGGGTGTTGACCCAAGTGGCGAGCTATAGGGGCGCAACCGTGCACTTTGGTTGCGACCCTCGTGGCAGCTGAAGAGTCGGATTCGACAGGGGGGCAGCGTGTACTGTATGTGAAACCGGGCGCGGCAGAATACCGCGCCCTTGCCGAATCTAAACAGTCTCGCCAGCGCGACTGTAACTGGGCAACTGAAGCGTCGCCGCGCAATTGTTCTACAGTTCCGCTATGGTAACTGTCACCCTTGTGGGTTTCCTATATAACCGAACGTATTGGATTGTTATTATTAGACAATTCTCACACTTGTGTCCGACCAACCCTCCGTCGACGCAGTGGCACCACGTGCCAGGCAAGAAGAGCTACCTCTAAGTGACCATTGCCCCGCCGCAGGATCGTCATCAATCATTCCTAGAGCATTCCACTGCGCTCTAGCAACCTATAGATTTTATCAGAATCCGTTTCCGCCTTTTTCACTCCCGATGTATCTGCTCGACGGTCTCGATGCTTCAACTGTTTTCATCACTTCGAATCATCTCGACCCTTAGTCTCCACCATCGGCACTGCTTAGACTCTGTTACGTACAGGGAAGGCTAACTAAATTCACACCCCATAAGCGCACCCCCTAGGGGTACATAGCATGGGTACAACTTTCTCGCAGGGTAGTTAACGTCGGACATTGAAATGGCTGGGGAAGATTCCCGTACCCCTGTCGCGAATAGACGTAGAAGCAACAAGAACTTCAGGGGCAACCCCCCTCCTCCCTCCTCACTCGGAACACATAGTGCAAGTTTAAAAAGACTGCACCTTCCAGCTGTCGATTGATCGTCCGAGTTTCTTGGTGTCCGTCGTATCGAGCCAAAATCGGTATAGTGTAGTATTTGAAACTGAGGGTATGGGGTGTGAACTTATCGTGAACAGGTGTTATGGTTTTCGACAAAGAGATCAAACCTGAATTCCTTCACGGCGATTGCTGTAGGTGTGATCATACCCCATAACTAGTGTAGAAATGACGTGGCATTGCGCTGAGGTTTTCTTGTCTTCCAGCCAATCATAACCTCCGTCTACCCTTCCCTCGCGCAGCTTCGTCCAACGGGGTCTTGAATCAATGACGTGGAATGATCGGTGATGTCAGCAGTGACGGTGGGTAAGCCCAAAGAGCGGCGCGGATAAACCCTGCGAGAGGGGTTGCGCAAGTGCTGCCCACTCGTGCTTCAAATCGAAGCCTGCCACACTGCGAGGCTGCCTGTGTTTCAACATGTTCAACGTTCGGAGCCCGCTTGACCACCAGCCCATTCTTTTGCAACCTTCTCCCATCGCTGCTCACCCTTGTTGCTGCTCGCCCGCCATGGCGTCCCTGAAGGCCCACTTTACCACAATACCCGCCGCGTCGCCGACGGTTGCGCCTTCACTTAAGTCTCCTTCGCGTGATTTGCACTTCAACCGAGCGCCGTTCTTCGCCGCGCACGTGACATGCAAGGCGTCAGGCCCCAGCCCAAGGTGCGCTGTTGCCTTCTCCACCTTCGCGGTTGCTCATCCGTCTTCGTCTTTCCCGTCTTCGTTCCCAAGTTTCACCCTTTCGCTTCTGCGCCCTGTTGTTGACGCCATCGTGTGCCTTGGCGTGGCTGCTGATCTCGTCCCCCATGTGCCTCGCAGCCACAGCGCCAGGCGGAATGGTGCCCTTAGCGTCACCGCCGTTGCTGTTCAAGGTTGGTCGCCTCTCGCTTTCCATTCTAGTCGCCGCTTCCCTCGTCGCGCGATCTTTCCCTGATTTGACATCCTTCCTCCTCTACCGTCGCCACGCTACTCGCTCACTCCCTTCCCCTTTCTCCCCCTGATCGCTGTCGCGCCGGTCGGGCGCCGCCAGCCGACAGTCCCGCGTCGGTGTTTTCGGACCCGCCGTTGGCGGAGGCGGACCCCGAGGTGGCGGCGGTGATCGCGTCGGAGCGGCGGCGGCAGGAGGAGGGGCTGGAGCTCATTGCGAGCGAGAACTTCACGAGCCGCGCCGTGATGCAGGCCGTGGGGTCGTGCCTCACCAACAAGTACTCCGAGGGGCTGCCGGGCAAGAGGTGCGCCACCGGGGGGAGAGGGGGGGGGGAGGGGGTTGATGCATGGGGCACAAGAAACATAACAGGGTAACGATAACGTAATAAGTGCAGATGCGCTGCGGGAAGGAAGGGCGGCTGTTGCTCTGCGGCTTTTCGCGGAAAAGAAATGTGCGCGACACGCTATTTGTTGCGCGCGATCTCATTGCTGACCCCGTGTGTGGCGGGCGCGGCAGGTACTACGGCGGCAACGAGTTCATCGACCAGAGCGAGGTGCTGTGCCAGCAGCGCGCGCTCGCGGCGTTCCGCCTGGACCCCGCGCAGTGGGGCGTGAACGTGCAGCCGCTGTCCGGCTCGCCCGCCAACTTCGCCGTGTACACGGCGCTGCTCAAACCGCACGACCGCATCATGGTGGGATACGCCCCGCCCTCCCCATTTCACCCGCCTTCGCTATGCGCCTCCTCCCGCTCCCGCCCTTCTTCTCCCTCCTTCCCCCGCCCCACCCGGCCACCCCCCACTTCCCCCTCGTTCCCCTCCTTCTCGCCCCAATCGCACCATCTTTTTCGCCCTTGCGTAACTCCCTGCCCCTTCGTTGTTCTGATCGCGTTCGCCGATTGCTTTCTCAACACGACGGGCCCATATTTTGGAGCTGAGATCTGTGTGCCGTCTTGTGCTGCCATGCGTGTGCGCGCGGCAGGGCCTGGATCTGCCGCACGGGGGGCACCTGTCGCACGGGTTCATGACGGCGAAGCGGCGCGTGTCCGCCACGTCCGTGTACTTCGAGTCCATGCCCTACCGCCTCGACGAGTCCACCGGTACGCCCGCTGCCGCCGCGTGGGGCTGTGGGAGGGTGGGAGGGTGCTGCCTCGTGATTTCACCAAGGGGTGGGAGGAAGGGGTGGGGGCAGGGGATTGGCACACGCAACGGGTGCTGCTTCTTGAACTCACGCACATGCGTTCCCTACCATGCGCATGGCCCTTGCTCTTCCTCGCCTCCACTCTTTCTCGCTCTCGTGCTCGCCTCATTCCCCCGCGTGCCTTGCTCCCCCCCCACCCCCCCCCCCCCCGGCAGGGTTGGTGGACTACGAGGCGCTGCAGCGGTCGGCGCTGCTGTTCCGCCCGCAGCTCATCATCGCGGGCGCCAGCGCGTACCCGCGCGACTACGACTACAAGCGCATGCGCCAGGTGCCGCGGGGGCGGGGAAAGGATAGGAGGGGCGGGTGGCGGGGAAGGCAGTTGTGTAGACGGGATGGGGGAGAGAGGGAGATGGGATGGCAGCGGGATTTGAAGAGGATTGGAACGATACATTTCGAGACAGTGAACCTCACAAGTGGAATCACAATGGTTGCTGCGTGGTGACACAGAGCTGGCCCCAACCGACTTGTTCTACTCCTCTCTTTTGTAACCCCTCTCCTCCCCCTCCCTTCCCCACCTTCCCCACTCCCCCCACTCCCCCCACTCCCCCGTCCCCACTCCACCCACTCCCCCCCATTCCCCCCTCCATTTCCGACTGCCTTTTACCCTTGTCTCCCATGTGCCCTCGCCCTTGCGGTACGGCAGATAGCGGACAGTGTGGGCGCGTTCGTGCTGGCGGACATGGCGCACATCAGTGGACTCGTGGCGGCGGACGTGGTGGCCAACCCCTTTGAGTACGCGGACGTGGTCACCACCACCACGCACAAGGTACACTGTGCTGCTGCATTCACCGCTCCTCCTGCTCACCTTTCGTCCCTCATGCTTTCATGCAAGCCCCGTTACACACTCTCCTACCCAACCCCTCCCCTCCTCTCCCGTGCGTCCCTTCCATCCACTCGTGGCGTTGGGCGCATGGCAGTCGCTGCGGGGGCCGCGAGGCGGGCTGATCTTCTTCCGCCGGGGCGAGATGAACGGCATCGACATGGAGACGGCCATCAACAACGCTGTCTTCCCCGGCATGCAGGTCGCCCAACCCACCCTCCCACCCACCCATCGCCTCTTGTGTCCCTCTCGTCAAGTCGTTCACCTCGCCCACCCTTTTCATTTCTCAGTCTGTCGCTCCCCCTCCCGCAGTCTTTTTTCCCGTCCGTCACGAACTCACACCCGTCCTTGCGCGTTCCCCATTGCAGGGCGGCCCCCACAACCACACGATAGGCGGCATCGCGGTGTGCCTCAAGCAAGCTGCCACGCCCGCCTTCAAGGACTACCAACTACAGGTCCGCCCGCCGCTTCCCCCACTCTCCACTTCCGCCCTCCCTCCTCTGCTGTATCCTTGCCTCCCTCTGTTTGCCCTCCGGTTTACGCTCCTGTATCTCAGCATCCCTGCCTTCTTCCGGTTTACAGGTGAATGTGATGCATTCTGTGTTCCTGCCAGCCAAGCTCCCTCTCTCTGTCCTTTCCCCCCCCTCCGATGCCACCTCCCTGCCCGGGCAACCACCACCGTGGGGCGCGGCGGCAGGTGAAGGCGAACTGTGCAGCGATGGCGGAGCGGCTGGTGGCGCTGGGGTACACGCTGGTGTCGGGGGGCACCGACAACCACCTGCTGCTGCTCGACCTGCGCCCCCTCGTCCGTGCCCTCCCAACCTGGCCCCCACCCCACCCGATCACCCTGCTGCCACTGCCACTGCCACTGTGCTGCTTCCTTGTGCGCATGCACCACTGCATCAGCAGCCTTTCAGTGACCTCCTTGCCTCCCCTTGTTTGACTTTCCCTTATGGCATGTGTGTGGGTGTGGCAGGGGTTGGACGGTGCGAGGGTGGAGAAGGTGCTGGACCTGGCAGCCATCACACTCAACAAGAACTCCGTGCCAGGTGCCATGCCATGCCATGCCATGCCATGCCATGCCATGCCATGCCATGCTGTACTGTGCCATGTCATGCCGTACCGTGTCGTGTCCATGCCATGCCATACATGTGACCTACTGATCCATAGACTCACTCGTACCACTGGTTGCAGCTCATTTCAATACGTAGAAAACGAATGCCTGTTACACACATGACCCTCTTGCGTGGCCAGGTGACAAGAGTGCGATAGTGCCTGGGGGCATCCGCATCGGCACACCGGCGCTGACAACGCGCGGCTTCAAGGAGGACCACTTCCACCAGGTGCGCCCCCGCCATGCCTCCCCCGAGCTATGCTGCCCTACTCTCGCGTAAAATGGTTGCTGCGTCAATGCAACACCTGCTGCCAGCTCGTAGTCACATTGCTTGTGCTGTGTGCGGTGCTGTGCGTGTGGGAGGGCAGGTGGCGGAGCTGGTGCACGAGGGCATCAACCTGGCGCAGCGCGTCAAGGCGTCCAGTGACGAGGCAGTGCGGGCGGCAGGGGGAGCGGGGGCCAAGGTGAAGGACTACATGGCGTACGTGCAGGGGGAGGGGTGCAAGGAGCGCGCGGACATAGAGGCGTTGAAGCAGCGTGTGACGGCGCTGGCCACGCAATTCCCCATGCCCGGTGTGGACATCGACAACCTCGCCCGCTGAACCCTTGCACGCCCTGCACGCTCAGCCATGATAGGTTACCTTTTGTAGTGCATGGGACCTTGTGACAGTGCCTTGCAATAAGCTGAGTGGACTGGAGGCTATGGTAAATCTGTACACGATATTCGTGGAGGAGGATTCCCATGCAAAAGTATCTGAATGGGATGAAGTAGCATATACATGTTATCATCATTAGGCTCTGATTGTGGCTCACTTTGTTCCTGTGTCCTATTGACAAGGTAACAATATACCTGGGGTATAAGATTGGCTTTGCAGTAAAAGGGGTCCTCAGATGAGTGATTGCTTCCATTCACTGGTATTAATCCTGTGCGGAACCACAAATGGGGGGGGGGGGGGGGGGGGGGGGGGGGTAATTTGAAAGGGAGGAAATATCACGCATGCCTACTCACACGGCCATCCGAGTGATACGGAACATGTAAGATCATGGAATGATTTAGGCCTCGACTATCGAACCTTGCTTGTTACTCGTGTCTGACAACTGTTGCTACGATCATGTAAGATCATCAACTTACTGTTGTCTTTCCCAATGCTTATCTCACTCACAATGCATCTCACCTGCCCACTCACCGTGCCACTCACCTTGCCATTACTGCTGCCACCACCCCGGCCGCTGGTCCTGGCCCCGCATGCAAGCTTGTGGGACGGCCACTGCGCCTTCTCACACTCTCTACCGCAATACGCCACCTTGCCACACCCAGAGCAATTCTTCAGCTTCACACCACCATCACCCTCCACCTTCCCACACCCCGCAGCACCGCACACACGCCCTCTAGAAGCAGCAGCGCCAGGGCCTTGTGCAAGTGAGACGGATGCGGGTGTATTGCTTGGTGCAGCAGCAGTGATAGGGATAGCAGGGGCTGTAGAGGCCACAGGACTAGACGAGGGAGAAACGCTTGGTGCAGCAGGATGGGTGGAAGGGGCTGCAGGTGCAGGGGAGGCAGGGCGGTAGCACACCTCCCCCAGCAGCATCTCCCGCAGACACGCCACCAGATTGATTCCCCCCGGCCATGGCTTCAAATAAGCTGGCACCTCCCCCTTTCCTCCCTCTCCCTCACTCTTCCCACCACCAGCCCCGCTGGCCCCACTACTGCTACTCCTCATGCTGCTGTCCGCGCAGGCATCGCCACACGCACCCTGTCCCGCGGGCATGTCGTCACAGAACCTGGGTGTAGCAGCCTGGGCCCACATGTCAACGCCCCACTCGTGTGACATGGGCGCTCCTGCCTGCCTGCGCAGCACATGGCTGCTGCCCTTACCACACGTCACGTCCAGCCCCGGCCCCATGACCTTGGTGCTGGAGCGCCACGCGCACAGCATGGCAAAGCACCACGACTCCACCTCCTGCCATATGTCTCCCTCCTCTCCCCTCTCGCCCTCCTCCCCACCATCCGTACCTCTTCCTACCCTGCCTTCGTTGCCCAGCTGCCTCTCCATGCGCCGTGAAACCTCTCTCATTTCCACGTCCTCGTCTCAGCCCGCCTCGTGAGCGTGAGACACGCCCATGATGGGCTTCGCGTAGTACAGTGCCACGCCCAGCAGCAAGTAGAGCGGCATCTGCCGCGCCTTCAACAGCATCACCCTCTCCCGCATGCGCGGATCCCCAGGCAGCTCCCCCATCTGCTCTGGCCCATGGCGCAGCGCACTCATGCCCCTGCGCACGCCGGCAGGGCTGGCCTCGTTGATGAGCCTGATGTGCTCTGCCACGGTGAGAGGCGAGCGCAGCAGCAGCGCGTTGAACAGGTGGTGGAAGTGGGGGGAGTGTACGGGGAAGGCGGCGAGGAAGCGCGTGAAGAGGGCGTCCACGGGGCGATAGGCGAAGGTGGCCATGAGAGCGCAGCAGGGCACGTGGTACATGAAGGTGCCCAGGCATTTGATGCACTGGGAGCACTCGGGCGGCTTGATCATGGGCGCCAGGAAGGCCAGTAGAAAGTCCACATCAGCCCGGCACCGCATGATGGACACCCACGGCCGTGGCTGCGACAGCGCGGATGTGTGTGCATCCACTCCTTTCCCCTTCCCTCGCCCTCTCATCGTTTCAACACCCCCTTCAGCCTTCTTGTCACCACTCCCTTTCCCCCCTTTATCCCTCTTTCCTCCACCCTCCCCATCCTTTCCCTTCCCTGCTGCTTTTTGCGTAATCTCTGCTTGACCCTGCCTACCCTCTTCTGCTAACCCACCCTCCTTTACCACCTCACCCTCAACTTCCATGCCACTCGCCTCCACAATACCAAGTCCAAAGAAACGAGCACTGGGATCGTGAGGGAAGTTGGCAGCAGTGTCATCGCCCTCAGGCCACTCCTCCCACTCCAGGGGGAAGCCGCTTCCCTCCACCGGCTTGGGAATGGCACCAAACCTGAGCAGCAGGCTCGGAAGGTCCCTAAGGGGGTGACGCATGGGCAGGACCTTCCCCTGAAGGCTATCCCTGAAGCAGCATCTCTTCGGGATGAAATCTGAGCCGTAGATTCGGACCCACTGCAACATGCAAGCAACTCGATAAGTGAGGACTGCCATAGCGGGGTGGGTGTTGACAGGTACGAGGCCAGGGGCGAGAATGGCACTGGCGTGAGGTGCTGCAGTGGATTCCTGAGGTGCCTCAAAAGTTGTTGAAGTTGCTGCAGCGGCAGGAGGAAGGGCATGGGTGGTGGAAGCGGAGGTGGTGGCAGAAGACAGGTGGCATGGTGACGAGGAGGTTGAGGCAGCACGAGTGGCAATGCCAGTTGCACCACTGCCATCCAAAGCACCGCTGTTAGAGACTGGGTTCGGCCTGCGTGCTGCTTCGCCTGTGGCTCTTGCTCCAGATCCTCCACACGCTCTCCCTCTCTCGCCCACCCTCTTTCTCAACCTGTTCCTCGCCTCATAAAGTGCGGCGTTTTCCACTTTAGCCTTGCTTGCATTGTTCCCATCCGGCACCAATGACTGGTCCTCGTAGTGCCCTGGCAGCGACAGCACTGATGCCACTGCCAGGGCGAAATCCGTGGCACCCACGCCACTCACATACATGCCCCTGGGAATACCCCTGCCCTCCATGCTGCCACTGCCAACAACTTCACCACCACTGCTGTTGCTGCTGCTGCTGCCTCCCTCACTGCAGTGGCTGCACCGGAACTCCCTCCCTCCCCCCCCTCCATGCTCCAGAATCCAAGCCATGCCATCCACATACCTCTCCCACTCACGCCCCTTCAAATGCTCCCTCCACTGCCCGCCCTGCCCATCCCCACCACCCTCACAGCCACCACCCACTGGCCCCTGCCTGTCGCCGTCCCCTTCCCGCCCATCCTCCTCATCCGCTGACCCTTTGCACAGCACTGCTCCCCCCTATGGCCTCCGCTCCCCTGCCACCACCCATCAGCCGCATCGCAGCCGTTGCACCCGGCCCCGCGTTGCCCAGAGCCGCAGCTTTCTTCCCCGTTCCCTGCGCCTGCACCTTCCCCGTGTCCACTGCGCCTGGCAGCAGCTGCTGCAGGAAGAACCCAAACCCTTCCTGGAGATCAGCACTCTCTTTTACTCCAAGCACCTGCACCAGCATGGACGCGAAGCGGTCCGGCTGGGCGTGCCTGCGCGCTCCCAGTTGAGTGACGAGGGCAGTGAAGGTGGCAGCGCGCGCGTCCATGTGCGCCCTCCACAGCGTCACCAGGCGCGGGGGACCTCGCCACCAGCACGAGGAAGGCAGCGAAGCTCACAGCACGGCGGTACGCAGCCCAGCAGCCGATGCAGCGCCAGCAGCACGACCACGCTGCAGTAGCAGCAGGTTGAGACGCTTCAGCAGGCGCGGAGCAGTGTGCTCCAGCAGGTGTGTAGGCGAGGATGGCAGGCAGGCGGGATCGGATGGTCCCCAGGTCCATGAGCACGCCCACACGCGGCTCAGCCAGCCACTCCAGCAGCATGGCCTGCACGCACAGCAGCGGCGCCACGGCGCGGTCGAAGCACCACTCGCACTCACCCGCATCCCACGCGCCTACGACGTCCAAATAGTGAACCATGTCCGTCCGGCACATCAGCTGACGCTTCTCGGAATAATGAGCAGAATGTTGAGCGTGGGTCAAGGGTCGAGGGTGAAATTCGACGAATCAATCTGGGCCGAGGGTCAGCAGGCGTGTAACTACGAAACACGGTTCGCGACCTTCGAGAGAGGTTCAGGTGGCCCATGAGTGGCTGGACAGCCCCAGCAGAACATTTTCGTCATGCCAAACGAAGGTGAATGAATTCGCGGGTTTCCAGCAAACCCGATAGGGCGAACTACGGCACAAAATCCCGAATCCCCAATAGTCCTGAAACTATTGCACTTGTATCAGCCTGTCAGAGTTAGGGAATGAAATTCTGGCTCTCCGCTTCCTAGAAGCTTTAGTACGTAACGCGTGCGACGTTAGTACTAGCTCGAATGGAGAGGGACGGCCCTCCAGCGAGTGCGCATCTACAGAGCCACCCAGTTGAGCCGATCACCCCGTTACTATCAGTTCCGCTACCATTTATGATCAGCAGGTAGGTCGCCTTCGACTTTCGTGCTTATCCCCGCACGAAGCATCTGTGTTATCCCCGTTAAAACTCGCTCGCAGCAATTGCTGAAGAATGTGACTTCTGCGCAGTCCGTTGACTCTTGAGCTTATCCCCGTTATGGAGCTCTTCGCTTCACTGCATTCGTCCCCGTTACAGGATCAAAAGGCCACGCGAGCAGCAGGCGCTGATGGACGTGCAGCTCGGCGCGCAGGCCGTGGACTCTCTCACCGCTCTCTACCGCTCCCTCGCTCTCACCTCCCAGGTCGCCTCATCCCCCCTCCCCTTCTCACTCCACATCGTCGCTATATGCTTCTCAACGTTATTCCTTGATGAGCCCTTTATTGAAGCACGTTGACATGCTCGCAGGAAGCACTGTACTACCGACCACGAGCGCCAAGACTCGTTCCAAGTACCGCTCATCTTCCCATGAGCCCTAAAGCTCCTCAACCTTACTCTTTCTTCTCTCACTCCCCTCCTCTTTCGTTGTAATCTCCACCGACCGTTCTCCTTCTTTTAGGATCTGAAGAGGGCGTGGGATGCCACGTGGAGGGCCAGAGACGCACAGGTGGCGACCCTCCTTCCTCTCATTGGTTGGTACATACATATTGTGATGTTGATTTTTCGTGGCGTAATGTTACAATCTAATGTTCGTCGTTAAGCCCTGTCATATGTGTCACAGTATGTGAGAGCGTTGGAAGGTGCCCAGCAAGGTAACACAGCTGTCCCCCACAGGCTCCTGTTCGCCCAATAGGACACCCCCTCCCTCTCCGTTATCCTCTATATCGTCCATCCTCAAATTCCAGTTCCACCCGATCCCCTATCCCTAATCCCCCTTCCCGTATGCCCTACCTTCGACTCCCTACTCCCTCTGCGTTACCTCCTAGTACCTATGTCTTATGCCCTAACCCTTTTTCCCTACGCCCTTCCTCTATGCCCTATATGCCTATGGCCTGTTCATTATCCCCTCACCCACCTCCATTCCCGTCAATCTCTTCTGATAAGCCTTCAACATCGCATCACATCACATCACATCACATCACATCACATCACATCACATCGCATCACATCGCATCACATCGCATCACATCGCATCACATCACATCGCATCGCATCACATCACATCACATCACATCACATCGCATCCCATCGCATCACATCGCATCGCATCACATCACATCACATCACATCACATCGCATCGCATCGCATCGCATCGCATCGCATCGCATCACATCGCATCGCATCGCATCTCATCGCATCGCATCGCATCACATCACATCACATCACATCACATCACATCACATCGCATCACATCGCATCACATCACATGTCAACGTGTCCACCTCGCCTTCACATACTACAGTTCCGAACCCCCTTCCATTCCCTCCCATTCACCCCCCCCTCCTTTCCCCCCTCCCCCCTTCCCACTGTTTCCCCTTTCACCCTTTTCCGCTTCTCTTCTTTCTCCCCTGTCCTCCCCCCTTCTTCCCCCTTCTCCCATCCTTCCCACTCGCCCCTTGTCGGTGTCCCTGCGTGCAGGCCAGTGCCCACCACGAATGAACGTGCACCTCACCTCGCCACAGCCTCTGCCTCCCTCACCTCCCTTTCCCCTCCCCCATGCCCTCTCCGCTCCCGTCTACCACACAGCATACCTCTTCCCCCCTTGCCATAACGTGCCGTCATGCCACCACGTGCCAGCGTGCAGTGCAGCACAGGCTCCTGGGGGTCCACATCACGTTTCCCCTTCCCAGCAAGAGAGACTCCAAATCTTCCACGGACATGAGGAGATCAACACGAGACCGAGTTGGCAACGCCGGACGATCATACCCATGTGGATCACGAATTCCAACCCTTCGCAAGCTGTTTAGACAGTTGGGGTTAACATATGTATCCATCAGCATGATTCATTAAGCGGGGTTTGACAAGCGATTCTGGATGGCCACAATCACACCTGCATCGCCTCCACCTCTCACCTGCCGTCCTCCGTGTGCAGGCCACCACATGGCAACGTGCTCGCCAGGGGCTGCTGCTCCCCCTTCCTCGCTCATGCATCCTCATCGCCTCCCCTCCCCTCCCTTGCCCTCTCCCGACCCCCCTCCCCCCTCTCTCTCTGCGTGCAGGTCACCAGATGGCGGCATGCAGCGCAGCTCGCCACAGGCTGTTGGCGCACCTGGACACACAGCTGCAGCACTGCACGGTGGGGTGGGGTGGAGGTGATGTTCTCTTGGGGTTTTGCAACTGGGGCTGCGGGTAGGGTTCACGCGGTGAGGGGTTTAGGGCTCATGTGGGGTCGCACTCTTCCTTACACAAACCACCTTCCCTCCACCCACCCTCTTCCCCCAACCCACCCTCTTCCCTTCCACTCAACTTCTTCCATCACGTTCCACCTTCCCTCCACACAATTTATCCCCTCCAACCACCCTCGACCCTCCACGCCCTACCTTTGCTCCCCGCATACTCACGCGGGTGCTGTTGTCACATGGGCCTGAGACTGCCACACGAGAAGCTCTGTGATGCCACCACAGGAGATCTTTTCCTCCTGACCCGCATAAAAAAACCTACGAGAGAAGATCCCTTGGTCCTCGTCTTCCTTTCCCCTTCCCCCTTCCCTCCTCCCCCCTTTGCCCCTCCTCTATCTTCCTTTCATTCCCTGTCTTCAACAGACCTTTGCCTCATTGCTAGGAACAGTTGCAGAAAATGAAATTGTTTCCCTTTCTGCTTTCCTCGTACTCTTGCTCCTGTCTTCCATGTTTCTCTTGCATCCCTCCGTCCCCTCTCCTTGTCCCTCACTCACTAAGAGCAGCAGCGGAAGAGAACATGTGCGTGGCTCAGTGATTTCCCCTCCGCTCTTTTCCTCTCAATCATGCTACTGTCTTCCTTGTTCGTCTTGTTTCCCCTCCTTCCCCTTATCAGGCCCTTGCCCACACACTAAGAGCAGCAGCGGAAGAGAACATGTGCGTGGCTCAGTGATTTCCCCTCCGCTCTTTTCCTCTCAATCATGCTACTGTCTTCCTTGTTCGTCTTGTTTCCCCTCCTTCCCCTTATCAGGCCCTTGCCCACACACTAAGAGCAGCAGCGGAAGAGAACATGTGCGTGGCTCAGGTGAGGCGGTGGGGATGGAGGGGAGGGGGGAAGGGTTAAGAGTAGGAGAGAGTTGGGGGGCGTCAACGTCGGGACACCATGTCAGCAATTGACACGTCAGTCTCGCAAAATACGGACATGAATCTTTGGACTGTCCAAAGCATGAGCAGGAGGCCCGCACGGGTCGGGCCGGCCCGACCCGACCCGTGATTTTGCCCGGGTCGGGTCAGGGGTTTCAATAGCCTGCCCCGGGCGGGTCGGCCTGACCCGGCCCGGCCTAACTCGACCCGAGCAGGGAACTCGGGCCGGGTCGGGCCGGGCTTTTGGCCGGAATTCGGGTCAGGAGCTGGCCCGACCCGGTATGGACCCTAGAGTAAAGCCTAACATCAGTCCCGCGGAACCTACCTAACTTCACTTCAACATCATAGGTTTGGACTAAGCTCAATGTCGTGAGCTGTGAAATTGCATTGGGGGGTTGGGTTGTGTAGATCCAGTGCGGTGACGAGTGGTAAGTGGCGGCAAATTGGTTGGGATTTTGTATTTCAACAAATTTGACGGGGAGGAGGGGGTTCCTCGGTTCCTCACAGCAAAATTAGGTTGACCGAAATCGCCGATCTGCGCCGGATTGGTGGGCGAAAATGCCGATCTGTGCAGGGGGCGGGCGGAGGCGGGTTTCCCTGACCCGACCCGACCTCGGGCCGGCCCGACCCGAGATCGGGTCACCCCGGACCCGACCCTGTACCCTCGGGTCGGGTCAGGGTATTCAACACCCTGGCCCGAGGCTGGCCCGACCTGACCCGGCCCGGAAACCCGCTTGGCCCGCCAAGTCGGGTCGGGCCGGGTCGGGCCGGGGCAAATGCTTGGACGGTGTGCAAGACATGCGACTTTGTTTTTACGATAACTTGTCGAAACATCATCGGTTTCACATTGAGAGTTTTAGGGTTTTGCGATGGTTGGATCCTCTCAAGGCGTATGCCCCTAATTAACCTGCGTGTTTTTACACGTCACCGAGGGCCTTTTTGGGCCGGATGGCGGGCGGACGGACAAGCCTGGAAGCGTGAGGTGAAGGCGGAGAGAGTGAGAGGGTGAGAATTTCAATCGTATCACCTGGTTGCGTGCAGGAGCTCGTGGCAGAAGCTGAAGGCGAGGCCGCCACGCACGGGGTGGCATCGCTGCTTGCTGACAGGGCAGGCGCAGCAGCAGCAGGAGGAGGAGGAGGAGGAGGAGGAGGAGGAGGAGGAGGAGGAGGAGGAGGAGGAGGAGGAGGAGGAGGAGGAGGAGGAGGAGGAGGAGGAGGAGGAGGAGGCGATCCGGTGGTGCTGCGGCTGGCACAAGAGCGGCAGCTGATGTGAGTAACGTGAGGAGCACCCTGGGGCTGGGTGCTTGGTTGTCAAGTGGAGGGGGTGCAGTGTGAGACGGGGAGCGCACCATGGGAATGAGAGCACAAGCGCATGGGAGACACAAAGGGAGGAGGCCACATTGGGGGGGGAGGGGGCACGATGGGAGGGGGGGCACGATGGGAGGCAGGTTGGGGGCATCAGAGCAGCAGCAGCTGCAGCGGCAACAGCAGTACCAGTGGCAGCAGCAGTGGCTTCTCCTCCTCTTACTCCCGTCCGTGCTCTGTCCCTCCCTCTCCCTCCCTGCCCTTCTCTGTCCCTCTCTGTTCTTCTCCCCCCCTCTCCACTCTCTCCCCCCTCTCCCTCTCTCCTGCGCACCAGAGCGCGCATAGAGGGGGAAGTGGCAGCGCGCATTGAAGCTATAGTGGCCGCCCGGGACACAACCCACCTCAGGTGAGGCACCTCTCAAACATGCAGCACCTTTCAAACATGCAGGAAGAAAGAGTTGAGGGAAAGCTACTCTCAATCCAAAACACTCCTTAGTGTAGCCGCGGCATGCTATCCAGCTGTAATGTAAGCTACCGCTACTGCTCACCTGTGATGGCCAGGATACAAGCAAACAACGCGCCAGTGATGAGAAGCACCAGTACCTTTCGGTACGGGCGATTTGAGGGGACGTGCAGCAGCGCGCCTCTCATTGATGCAGGACAACCTTAGAAATACTCCTACGTAGTGACACGTTATTGAGCTCCAACCAATGCATAACAGGTGCATTGCACCGAGGATACAACCGACATGGCGGTTATGTGTGCATGTATCCGCATGTGTGTGTGCATGTATCTGCATGTGTGTGTGCATGTATCTGCATGTGTGTGTGCATGTATCTGCATGTGTGTGTGCATGTATCTGCATGTGCGTGCGTAGGCACTGTACCGAATTGGTTTGCATGGTGCCGGTCCGTGGTTCGTTAAATTAGCTAACGAACCGAACTGGTTTGGCCGATGGTCCGGTTCGTTACCGAACCTACGCGGTTCGTTATTTCAGTGAACTTTCAGTATTGTCATACCAGCTGGAAAACTAAAAAAGAACCATAGGAAGCACACAGATATTAAACGAAAGGGGGAATCTGTAACGCTGAAGCTTGAAATGAGCTCCAACTGTTAGTTTTTTGGATTATATTCGAACTTGCATGCCCCAGGTCGATATGTCGCGCCTCGGGAATTTGGCAAAAGCGAATCTGTAATCGCTCAGTATCAAACGAACCGAACCGCGGTTCCGTTTCCTGCTCATCATGCCTATGCGTGCGCATCTATCTGCATGTGTGTGCGCATGCATGTCTGCTTGCGAGTTGGTTCATGCGTGCATGCGTATGCACGCCTACCTCAATCATATGTGTGTGTGTGTGCACACATGTGCATCCATACATGCATGCACATACACGTGTATGGCGCACCGCTCCATGTGTGCAGGCCGCTATCATCGTTCATCGACACTCTCATCGCACCTCCAAAGCCACACCCATCTGAAACACCGCCCCGCAATGCACCGCCCAGCAGCGCACCACCCAGCAGCGCACCACCCAGCAACAGGCAGCAGGCTTTGAGCAGAGGGCTGGGCACGCAGCAGGGCGGGCATGTACCTCTGGAAGTTGCATCTCTCGATCGCCATGCCCGACTCAGTGCTGCTGCTGCTGCTGCTGCCGTCGGTGCTGCTGCTGTTGGTGCTGGTGGTGGGGCTGCTGCTGCTTCTGCTGCTGCTGCTGGTGCTGCTGGTGGTGGTGGTGGTGCTGCTGCTGATGCTGCTTCTGGTGCTGCTGATGCTGCTGCTTCTGGTGCTGTTGGTGCTGCTGCTGTCGGTGCTGCTGCTGTCGGTGCTGCTGTTCATGCTGCTGGTACGGCTGCTGGTGGTGTTGATACTTCTGGTGATGGTGCTGGTGGTGCTTGTGATGGCTCTGCTGATGCTTCTCGTGGTGCTGCTTCTTTGGTGGTGGCTGAAAGACTTGGCACCACGGTTGCTGTTGCAGAAACCGTGGTTGCTGCTGCTGCTGCTGCTGCTGCTGCTGCTGCTGCTGCTGCTGCTGCTGCTGCTGCTGCTGCTGCTGCTGCTGCTGCTGCTGCTGCTGCTGCTTCTGATGCGGCTAGTGCTGGTGCTGGTGCTGCTGCTGCGGCTGGTGCTGGTGCTGCAGGGTTGAGAGAGAGCGTGCAGGCAGAGGCTACATTGATTGCGAGCACAGGGGGCGAACTTCCCCATGCAGGCTATGCACAAGGAGCAGATAGAGGAGGGGGCACAGTGGGTGATTCTCCTTGTTCAGGGGGATCAGTGGGAGTAGTGACAGGAGCCGGCACACGTGATCATTTCTCCCGTGCAGGGGCTGCAGCAGGAACAGCAGCAGAAGCAGAGCGTGGAGCGGAGGCCAACCGGGAGGCAGTGATTTCGGCATCAGAAGCACTACCCGCAGCAGCAGTTCCCGCAGTAGCAGCACCGGTAGCAGCGCTAGACGCAGCAGCATTACCAGCCGCAGCACTAGCAGCAGCAAGACCAGTAGATTCTGATGTGGTTGAAAGAGGCACTGCGGTTGTTGTGCCTCATGTCGCTGTGCCTCTTCCTGCTGGCGCTCCAGCATCAGTTGCGGTGGCACTGGCAGCAGCAGCAGCAGCAGCAAGGCCAGGGGACTGTAGTGCAAATGATTATGCTGGTGTGGCAGTAGCAGCAGTAGCAGGAACTGTAGTGAGAGGAGAGGACGAGAGGGGTGGGGAAGCGGAGATGAGGGGTGAAGCGCAGATGGCGTGTGGGAGAGACGAAGAGAGTGGAGGAGCAAGTGTGAGAAGTGAGAGAGTGGCGGTGACAAACGATAGTCAATCTCTGCAGCACCGCAGGTTCAAGCCACACAGAGTGCCTTTGGCAAGCATGACTGGCCTGATTGAAGTGGGGTCTGGGGTAGGGGTTACATGTAGGGTTAATGGGAGAGGAGAGAGAGAGGGGGGAGAGGAGGGCGATGGGGTAGAGGAAGGAGAGGGGGGAGATGGAAAGGAGGGAGGAGTTGTGACAGACAGAGGACATGGTAGAGAGGCAGGAGAGGCAGGAGAGGCAGGAGAGGCGGGAGAGGGTGCAGAGGAGGGAAAATGGGCGGAGACGGGAAAGGAAAAGGAGGGGAGAGTTGTGGCAGACAGGCAAACTGGTAGAGAGGAGGGAGGGGAAGGTGAGGCGGTCAGGGAGCAAGAGGAGGGGGAGGGTGGAGTAGGTGGGGAGGTGGGAGTGAGTGGAGAGAGGGGCGTGGGGGAAGAGAGGGAAGTGGGAGGAGAGGGGAGAGTAAGGGGAAAGGGGAGAGAAGGCAGAGAACCGGGTGAGGAAAGCAAGTGGGGAGAATGGAGAGAAGGAGAGGGAAGCAAGAGAAGGGAGGAAATCGAGGGAAGAGACGAACAAGAGGAACGAGGGGGAAGAGATGGGGGAGAAGGAAGAGAGGGTGGAGAGCGGAGTGGGGAAAAAGAGAGAAGAGAAGGTGAAGCGGGATTCGAGATAAGGGAGGGCTTCAAGACGGAGGAAAGGGGAGAGGGCAATCAGAACAGGGTTAGAAAGGGAGCAGGAGAGAAAGGAGAGGGAGGGGAGCGAGGAGTGGGAGGAGAGCGAGGAGCGGGAGGAGAGGGAGGAGCGGGAGGAGAGGGAGGAGCGGGAGGAGCGGGAGGAGCGGGAGGAGAGGGTGGAGAGGGAGGAGAGGGAGGAGAGGGAGGAGAGGGAGGAGCGGGAGGAGCGGGAGGAGGAGGGAGTGAAAGCAGCCAGCAGAAGTTGCCACTTGAAAACCCTCCTCTTGAAAACCCTCCTCTTGGAAACCCTCCTCTAAGAAACCCTCTTGAAAATCCTCCTCTTATAAGCCTTCCTCCTGAAAACCGTCCTCTTGAAAATCCTCCTTCGAAAAACCCTCCTGCTGAAAACCTTGTTGTTGAAAACCCTCTTCATGAAAGCTTTCCTCTTGGGTCGACCCCAGACCGGCCTCTCAGGAACCCACCACCTCCTTCTCCTCCTTCTCTTGCTGCTGCTCCTCTGCTTCTGCGCCCCTCCTTGCCGCGCCACCGCTTGTCCTTTTCCCTCGGCACTCCTGTGGCATTCCTCTCCGCCCCTTCACCTGCCGCTGTACCCCCGCATGCAGTTGCTGCTGCTGGCACTCCCAAACCAGATGCTTGTTCGCACGCACAGCCTGCCTCAAGCAACAGAAGTGGTGGGCCAACCCATGCATCGAACCACCAGACCAGGGAAGCCATTCAACCACCCTCCCAAGGCCGCTGCACCCATTCCCGGGCGGATGGTGTGGGCTGCGTAGGCTCTCTTGGGTGCACAGCAGCAGCACATGGTGCAGTGGCCAGGGCAGCAGAAGCAAGTAGAGGTGGTGATTTAGGAGCACGTGCTGCTGCTGCTGCTGCTGCTGGTGCTGCTGCTGCTGCTGCTGCTGCTGGTGCTGCTGGTGCTGCTGCTGCTGCTGGTGCTGCTGGTGCTGCTGGTGCTGCTGCTGCTGCTGGTGCTGCTGGTGCTGCTGGTGCTGCTGGTGCTGCTGGTGCTGCTGCTGCTGCTGGTGTTGCCTGTGCAGCTGCCGGTACTGAGGAAGAGCAACAGCAGCAACAGCAGCACATGGAAGAGCAGCAGCAGCAACAGCAGCACATGGAAGAGCAACAGCAGCAACAGCAGCACATGGAAGAGCAGCAGCAGCAACAGCAGCACATGGAAGAGCAGCAGCAGCAACAGCAGCACATGGAAGAGCAGCAGCAGCAACAGCAGCACATGGAAGAGCAGCAGCAGCAGGAGGAGGACATTCATGTTCCGATGTTGACTCAGTGTGGACATGCAGAAGGAGATGACGTGGAAGGAGATGACGTGGAAGGAGATGACGTGGAAGGAGATGACGTGGAAGGAGATGACGCGGAAGGAGATGACGCGGAAGGAGATGACGTGGAAGGAGGTGACGTGGAAGGAGGTGACGTGGAAGGAGGTGACGTGGAAGGAGGTGACGTGGAAGGAGATGACGTGGAAGGAGATGACGTGGAAGGAGATGACGCGGAAGGAGATGACGCGGAAGGAGATGACGTGGAAGGAGGTGACGTGGAAGGAGGTGACGTGGAAGGAGGTGACGTGGAAGGAGGTGACGTGGAAGGAGGTGACGTGGAAGGAGATGACGTGGAAGGAGGTGACGTGGAAGGAGGTGACGTGGAAGGAGGTGACGTGGAAGGAGGTGACGTGGAAGGAGGTGACGTGGAAGGAGGTGACGTGGAAGGAGGTGACGTGGAAGGAGATGACGTGGAAGGTGGTGACGTGGAAGGAGATGACGTGGAAGGAGGTGACGTGGAAGGAGGTGACGTGGAAGGTGGTGACGTGGAAGGTGGTGACGTGGAAGGAGGTGACGTGGAAGGTGGTGTTTTGAAAGCACAAGGAGTGGAGAAGAGAGAACGGGGGGCAGAGAGATTAGAGCCAGAGGCGAAGAAGAGGAAACGTGTGGATCTGGATATTCCTCATGCTGCTGCTGCTGCTACTTCTGCTGCTGCTGCTACTTCTGCTGCTGCTGCTACTTCTGCTGCTGCTGCTACTTCTGCTGCTGCTGCTACTTCTGCTGCTGCTGCTACTTCTGCTGCTGCTGCTACTTCTGCTGCTGCTGCTACTTCTGCTGCTGCTGCTACTTCTGCTGCTGCTGCTACTTCTGGTGCTGCTGCTGCTGCTGCTGGTGCTGCTACTTCTGGTGCTGCTGCTGCTGCTGCTGGTGCTACTACTGTTCCTGCTGCTACTGGTGCTTGTGCTACTGCTGCTGCCAGTGCTGCTACTGGTGCTGGTGGTAGTGCTACTGCTGCTGTTAGTGCTGCTGCTGGTGCTGCTGCCAGTGCTGCTTTTTGTGCTGGTGGTAGTGCTATTGCTGCTGTTAGTGCTGTTGCTGGTGCTGCTGCTGGTGCTGCTGCTGGTGCTGCTGGTAGTGCTGCCACGGAAGGTGGTGGGCGTGTGGGAGCAGGAGGGCGGAAGAGGGGGGCGCTGGGCGCTTCAGGTGCAGGTGCAGGTGCAGGTGCAGGTGCAGGTGAGGACGGATATGCGGCTGCCATGCCGCCAAAGCACCCAAGGCTGCACCAAAATGTGGAGAGGAGCGAGCCAAACACTGCACCCGCTGCCACTGCTGCTGCACCTGCTCTTGATACTGCTGTAGTTGCTGCCTCCTCTCTTCCTCCTGCCGTACCTCCGCTTTCCAAGAGCAGGGAAGCAAAAGGCTCATCTCTGTCCTTGCCTATAGAGATCAGCTCCTCTCCTTCGGAGTATGCTTCACTTAAATCCTCCCAATCACCTCTTAAATCCTCCCAATCGCCTCTCAAGTCCTCCCAATCGCCTCTCAAGTCCTCCCAATCGCCTATAAAAGCTGCAACTCAGGCATACCTCAAGAACTCCCAGTCGCCAGCTGGCTTTAGAGACTCCACGTCAGCGTCAGAGGAGCACCTACCTTCGCAGCCCCTCTGCACTCTGCCTTCCCAACACAAGCCTTCTCCAGATAAGCCATCCTCAGATAAACCTTTCCCAAATAATAATTCCCTATATGTTCCTTCCTCAAATAAGCCTTTTCCACCTGTGCCTCAGCCACCTGCGATTCTGACAGTTGCTCCACTAGCTGCTGACGTGGCACCTCCTCCACCTGCGGTTGTTACAGATCCTCTAATTGCTGACGTGGAAGCTTCCTCCGCAGTTTTTGCAAGGGCGTCATGCTGTCAAGGTGAAGGAGGTGGAGGAGGAAGGGGAGGAGGAGGAGAAACAGCAGCGAGAGTAGCAGGAGCAGCAGCAGAGGCCGCAGGAGCAGCAGCCGCCGGTGCAGGATCAGCCATGGAAGCAAAAACAAGAGAGGAGGAAGGAGCAGGAGTAGTAGCAGTGTTATTGGGGGAGGAAGTAGCGAAAAGTGCTGCGGCTGCAGCAGGGGCAGGGGGAGGTGCAGGTGCAGGTGCAGGGGCAGGTGCAGGTGCAGGTGCAGGGGCAGGTGCAGGTGCAGGGGCAGATGGAGGGGCAGGTGCAGTAGTGACAGAAGTGGTAAGAGTAAGCAGAGCAAGGCGTCAGGATAAGGCCGAGCCAACACCAGCAGCATTAGATTCTTTGATAGCGACAGGTGATCTCATGGCACATGTGAAAATGGCACATGAGAGAGAGGGAAGAGGGGAAAGAAAGGAGGAGAGCACTGGGGACGGGAGGATAGAGGAAGGGAATGGCTGTAGCAAGAACGGTGGTGTCTCGATAGAAGAAGGGGAGGTGGTGGGGGAAGTCACGGAGGGAAGCCAAGAGTGTGAAGCAGACGGTGGTGCTGGTGGCGTCTTGAGTGCTCCCAACGTGAGTCTTGAGATGTCTCAGAACAGGCATGATAAGAGTGGTGGTGGTGCAAGCAGGGTACTGAAAGAGACAGAGGGAAATACTAGGGCTCACAATGGACATGCTGTTGCTGCCGCCACTGCCACTGCTGCTGCTGCGGCCTCTGCTGGAGATTCTGCTGCACCTGCTGTTGATTCTGCTGGTGGGTTTGCTGCCGATGGTGCTAATGCTGATGGCACTGGTACTAATGCTGGTCTAACTCGTGTCTGTAACAGAAGTGATGCAGAGGGGGTGGAGGAAGGCGAGGTTCAGGTTGACAGCTGCAGCCCAATGGATGCTGTGGCTGCGGTGACTGTAGTGGAAGCTGCTGTAGCAGGGCATGCTGTAGCACAGGATACTGTACCGGGGGATCCTGTAGTAGGGGATGCAGTAGCAGGGAAGAAAGAAAGAGCACAATCACCTGCCAAGCCTCCTGCTGATGCCTCTGCTGCCCCTTCGCCTGTCTTCCCTGCTCTTGCTGACCCGGCCTCTGCTGCAGCTGCTGCTTCAGTGCTTTCTGAAGCCTTCAACTTTCGCCTGGAAGCTCTTGGTCCCATTGTCGAATCAGTGTCGGGGTATTTGGATCAGCAGAAGCAGGATCAACAGGAAAAGCGCCAGGAAAAGCAGGGGGACGGGCATGTGGAGAGGCAGGAACAAGGTCCAGGGGATGACAGGAATGAGGAAGGTGCTTCCGAGTGGTCCAGTCAAGAGGTGGATGGTGGTGGGCATGGGGGTAGAGAGAGCCAAGGCACGGATGAAACAGAAAAGCTCAATTCGCCTTAAACTACCATAATACCCCGGATATAAGACCCCCTCCAGTTGTAGACCCCCGGGTCTATAATACAGAGGGGGGTACGCTAAATAGGTCGTTTTTGTCATACCCCTCTAAATGGGGGCTAACATTATAAGACCCCCCTCCCCCTAGAGAATCGGTCGTTTTATAGGCAATGCATGCAATTCTGATAGCTTTTCTGCCCTTTCCACACCAAATCCCATAAAATTTTCATTAACAAGGGGTAACAGCCAGTCACAAAAGCGCATATACTCATCATCATGTCAATTTTGTGTATTAATATTGAATGCTAAAATCGAATTTCATTGCGCGTATTCCCTTTGAATGCTAAAAACGAAGCACATAGTGTTGACATGTATGGCTTCCAAAACACAAGTAGTATACATGACCTTATGATAAGACCCGGGTCTTATCAAATGTAGCCAACTGTTAAGACCCCACACCATTTTTGGGGTGGGATTCTTATAATACCCCCGGGTCTTATATCCAGGGTATTACGGTACTGTGCACGCACAGCACATGCTCTTCTTTCCAGAACTACGGATGGTTACCGGTACCTGATTTTCCTCGTGTCAGAATTGTTTTCTTATACGGTATATATCTGCATGCATAACAGTTAGTGTAGTATCACCTTAGGTTTCTATCTGTTGGTGGTGTACCCCCCTTTGCCACCTTGCCTTACTCTATATCTTGTACCTCTCGCGTCCCTCTTCTTCACTCACGTCCCTCTCGCTACTCTCGTTCCTACTCTCTCAACCATGGTTCCTAAGTTACTTAGTCTCTAACCCTTCGCTATTGGCTGCGTTTGGTGAGCCGCCCCGATTTTGCCGTGATTGTTGGAGTGTCGTAAACGATTTTTCCTTGGTGAAATCAGCTTCTCCAACATCCGACTTTGGCCAGTCAGGCAGGGAGTTACAAAAAATGATGCTAAACTGAACCAGGGAAACAAACCATGTTAAAAAACAAGCAAAACAAAAAAGGATTAAACAAACATGTCAAAGTGTAATAACAATGTTAGGCTGTAGTGAAGTGCCTTCTAGGGGGTACAGCTCTTAGGTTTGCACATTTGTACCCCATCCACTTTCTAGTTCACACATTCCGTTGCTTCTACTTCTGAGATGGTATCACGAGTAGGTACGCTCCTAACCTAGCCTAGCCTAGGGCCGCTACGTCGCTCCGTAGTTGCTCCGTCGCTCCGTAGTAAGATCCCTTAAGTAGTGCGCGCCATCCAGCCAAGCAGCGCGCCCCACCCTGCAGAGCAGCGCGCGCCCCAGCAGAGTAGCGCGCGCCACCCAGCAGAGAAGCGTGCGCCCCTGCAGACCAGCGCGCGCCACCCTGCAGAACAGCGCGCGCCACCCTGCAGAGCAGCGCGCGCCCCATCAGAGTAGCGCGCGCCACCCAGCACAGAAACGCACGCCCCTGCAGAACAGCGCGCGTCATCCTGCAGAGCAGCGCGCGCCCCTGCAGTGCAGCGCGCGCCAACGTGCAGGGCAGCGCGCGCCCCTGCCCAGGAACGCGCACCCCAGCCAGGAATGCGCGCCCCTAACCAGACATGCGCGCCCCAGCCAGAAACACGCCTCCCGTACCCTCATAGCCGCCCACACCTCCTCCTAGCCGCCCACACCTCCTCCTAGCCGCCCACACCTCCTCCTCGCTGCCCACACCTCCTTCTAGCCGCCCACCACCTCCTCCTAGCCGCCCACCACCTCCTCCTAGCCGCCCACCACCTCCTCCTTGCCGCTCACCACTGCCTAATCCCGCCCATTTTCGCCTGTCGCCCATAGCCGCCCTCAGTACGCCTTGCAGTTTTCTCCGCCCTTGCATCCACCAGCCGCAGGCTGCCAGTCACGCTCCTAGCCACTAGTAGCACTACCTGTGACCCACCCGTGCCCACCGTATTGTGCTCGACTACGGCCACTGGCACCTCTTGCAGCGGCTGGCAGCCGCGGTTATTTTTCCTGACGTAGCTTCGGTTTTGTGGCCCGCCTGTTGTTCCTAGCCCGCCTTGCCTACCCGACCGTTCCTAGGCTGCTGCTTCTTAGTCGGTAGTTACTTGTCTTACTCTAGTCGCTTCTAGCTCCAGTCGTTACCCTCTCCAGCCATTCCTCGCTCCAGCCGCTCCGCAAGCCAGTAGTTTCTAGCCTGCCGTTTGTAGCTCCGGCCGTGTCTCACTCCAGCCATTCCTCGTTCCAGTCGCTCCTAGCTCCAACTACTCCTAGCTCCGTCTGTTCCTCACTCCGGGTGTTACCAGCCCTTGCTGTGTCTAGTTGCAGCCACTCCTAGCTCCAGCCGCTCCTAGCTCCAGTCGCTCCTAGCTCCAGTCGCTCCTAGCTCCAGTTGCTCCTGGCTCCAGTTTCTCCTAGCTCCGGCCGTTTCTAGCTCCAGCTACTCCTAGCCTGCCACTCCTTCACCCAGCTAGCCTTCACCATGGCGTCCACTAGGGTTCTCCAGCAGCAGGGACAGCAGTAGCGGCAGATTCATCAGTGGGAGCCTCCGCTGCAGTGGCGCCCTCAGCAGCGGTGGCGCCCTCAGCAGCAGTGGGGGCCTAGTGGCTCGGGTAGCGTTGGCTGCAGTAGCGGCCCAGCCAGCTGGGGGGCTCGTCGCGGTGGCCGCGACGTCGGCCCCTGCCAGTACCGGATCCTGACTGGCCCTGGTGCTGGCACTACCTGCTGGCGTCCTGACCACTCTGCACAGCGCTGCTACAGTCGCCACGACGACCTCTACCGTGAGCGTTTTGGGTCTGAGTCGAGGCCACCGATCTGGCCCGTTCTGTCTCGTAGTGGTTATCCTGTGTTTGATATGTCTATGGATGCTGCTTACTCTGTCACGTATGGGTCTCTTGGTTTGCGTGTACCTAGCTTAGGACATTGGCCTGTTGCCAGTGTAGGTACTTGTACGTTTAGTGTAGGTGCTTGTGTAGTCACTAGTCCAGCAGTGACGACTGCTGTCGCGTCGCTCTCCTTTACACTGGACTCCGGCGCGTCTCAGTGCTTCTTCCGCGACCACACACTACTGTCACACCTCTTTCGGCTCTAGTCCCAGTTGCCCTGGCTGATCCTACTTTAGGACCAGCAGTCGCTCGCAGCTCGACCACTCTCCCGCCCGGCTGTCCCTTCTGGTTTCCTCACTGGTCTCTACATCCCCTTGTTCTCTCAGAGCTTGGTGGGGGTTGGATACTTTCAGGACTGTGGGATCACAGTCACTTTTCCTGCGCACGGGAGGACGGCGATCTGTACGAACGCTTCCACCAGGGCACTTCTTGCCACGTTCACCAGGGAGCCCCACTCAGGTCTCTTCGTTCTGCACACTGCGCCCCCCAGGTTTCAGAGTCCGGTCAGGTTACTGCGTCCCGTCAGGTTGCTGTGTCCATTCAGGTTGCTGTGTCCGGTCAGGTTGCTGCGTCTTGCTCTTGTCGGTCACTCTCTCACCCGACAGTCTTGTGGCACCACCGTCTAGGTCACCCGTCCCTCCCACGCCTCCGTAGTATGGCCAGCCAGCGTCTCGTCTCAGGTCTCCCGTGTGTCTTTGAGTCGCTCCCCCGTTCGCCTGCGCCGCCGTGCACTCCTTGCGTCGAGAGTCAGCTGCGCGCCACTCCTCACTCCTCCTCCCTTCGTCCGGCCACCGCTCCGTTCGAGACACTCCACTTGGACGTCTGGGGCCCTGCCCCTCATCTTGGGCCCGAGCGGGAGCGCTACTTCCTCGTGGTCGTTGACGACTTCTCCAGGTACACCACGGTGTTTCCTCTCGCGAAGAAGTCCGAGGTGACATCTATACTGATCCGGTGGCTTCTGGGCACTCGTGATAGTCGTGTCCGTTGTCTCTACTCCGACCGTGGGGGTGAGTTCCGCTCCGACGTACTTGCCGGGTTCTGCGGCGAGCAGGGCATCACACAGTCCTAGACGCTTCCGGAGTCCCCACAGCAGAATTGGGTTGCTAAGCGCCGCATTGGCTTGGTCATGGAGATCGCCCGCACCTCCATGATCTATGCCCGTGCGCCCCATTTTCTGTGGCCCTACGCGGTTCGCTACGCCGCCCACCAGCTGAACCTCTGGCCTCGTGTCTCACGACCAGGGGATTCACCGACCAGTCTTTGGACCGGGTCACCTGGTGTTGCGTCGGAGTTTCACGTCTGGGGCTGCCTTGCACTTGACCGCGACACCTCTGCGGATAAGCTCTCTGCTCGCGCCATCCCCTGTGTCTTCTTTGGTTTCCCGGTAGACTCTCATGACTTTTCGTTTTACCACCCGCCCCTCCACCGTTTCCTCGACTCCCGTGACGTCCGGTTTGACGAGTCCGTGTCCTACTACACCCGGTACCCCTGTCGAGGTCTCCCGGTCCCCCCTCCTCCTCTTTTCCTCGCACCCTCTCCTCCTCCTGCTCCCGCTCCTCCGGTACCCACGCCCCCCCCTAGTCCTGCCCCGTCAGGTGTGTCTCACGCTATCCCTCTACCCTCGGTCGCGCGTCAGGTAGCGTCTCCCTCCCTGCAGTCCTCCTCACAGTCCCCTCAGCAGCCTTCGGCACTTCCGCGACAGGTTACTGTGGACTCAGATGGTGTTGGAGCTGGAGGTGCTGCCTTTGGAGGTACCCGGTCTGGGGGTGCTCGTTCGAGGGGTGCTGGAGCTGGAGGTGCTGGCACTGGAGGTGCTAGTTCTGGGGGTGTTGGAGCTGGAGGTGCTGGCACTGGAGGTGCTAGTTCTGGGGGTGCTGGAGCTGGAGGTGCTGGCACTGGAGGTGCTAGTCCTGGGGGTGCTGGAGCTGGAGGTGCTAGTTCTGGGGGTGCTGGTGCAGGAGGCGCTAGCAGTGGAGGTGCTAGTACTGAGGAGACTGGTGCTGGAGGCACGACTACTGCGGCGCCCACTGCGCCTCCCCACCGATACGACACGCGTCTCCAAGCTCTTCGCCGGGTTGAGCGCGAGGAGCAGGAGCGGTTGGAGCAGGAGAGGCAGGAGCTGCGGCAGTTGGACCAGCAGGAGCAGCAGGAGCAGCAGGA